TGCTACATCTGTCATTTAAGGCACTGGAGTTCTAGAGCTTTTCAAGCAAAACTTTGACACAGCTTTTTAGACATGGTCAGAACCAACATATTTTCCTCTAGTCTTATTTTTGGGAATGGCTGAACTGAGTTTTCCAAAATAATCAGCCTTGGGCAGACACTGACATGGAAATTTTCAACCCAAATTATGTAAGTTTATCAATGTTATAAAGCAAAGCAAAGCAAACTTATTATGGCAAAACGGGGGCAGACAGCTGGTGCTACCAACCACACCTGTGACACTGACAGGTTATAGCTGACAACATTAATATCAATCTTAGCATAGTTTATCAAGTAATTTCCATGATAATCCCTTAACTTCATAAAATATCAGTCTTTTTGGCCAAAGTCTTCCATGCTTGGTATTTGACCAAAGGCAATTTTCTCAGAGAACTTTTGCGGAAAAAAAAACAATCTGCTGAGACACTTCTGAGTTACGTGTGTGAGAAAGAAACGTACCAAACATTTTGCCCATTGTTAGAAAGACTTTCCAGGATTCAAGGATGGCTAAACAACAAAACATTAAACCTAGCATTTTAATAACCTGTAATGAGCAGTACTTGTCTGGATAAACTAATTAGGAGGGGTAGGAGACAGGGGGAAGATCACCACATATGGGTTGTCTCCTGCTAGCCTGAAGACTAAGGCAAAGGAATTTTCTGCTGTTTCAGAACTTCTCACTGTGTGTAAATCCACATTTGCCTTCCCACTGTGTGTAAATCCACATTTGCCTTCCCACTGTCACTAAGTGAGAATGAACTCACACTGTGGGTTGCTCTTCTGAGCTCCAACTGAATCTCAACTTGTTTAGCAAACTCCTGGATCCTGTATTTACAAATGGGTGATGATCATAAATGAGTACCATAGGTTGCTGTCCCTGAGGTGACGATTATATCTGGGGGACAGACTCACCAGATACCCCCTAATCAGTCACTGAGAAGAATGTTTCCTACACACAAAAAAACCAGTGCCTCACTCTCTGCTCGGCATGCTGTGACCACAGTGGCACCTTAGCCATTCCTTCAAACTGCTGGCTTTGTCTTACTTTCAAGCTACTTGTGAGTATCTTAGACCAATGTCACTGGTTTTCCTTTATCTTTAAATCTCATCCCTGGGCCTTCTTTGGAAGCGTCCATTTTACATAAATTAAAACCGTGTCTTATTGACTCTCTATTATTTCAGCCCATTGGGCTGGCACCTCTTGCTGCCCCTGACATTATTTCAAGCATCATCTGATGTCATTTTTATGCATGAAATTGGGATTACTAAGCCTGTCATACTGTTTCACCTCTAGTAGGAACAAAAATACCAGATAACTCAATGACATTTCTCTCAGTTCTATGAAAAAAATTCACGCTGTCTGCATCTTCAGTACCCTTCCTCTGTTCTTTTAGCTAGTAGGTATTGTCTAATAAATTTCTTTTCATTCAATCTAGGAGAAATTTTGAGGAAGGGTACAAAACACAGTGGAAGATGATGAGTCTAGATGACCAGGACAAGACTAGCTATAGCATAACTTGGACATTATTCTATTAGTGGGGTTTTGATTTATCATGAAATACACAATGCGACAAATAGTGGGATAAAAATCCTGGAGTCTGTGTTGTGGGGAGACTTAAATAGTCCATTTCTTCTCTCTCCACATATCCTTCCATTCCTTTTTCTTTCCTCCACAGTGTAGAACATATGCCTTTCCTTGTATGCAGCCCTATGCAAAATCCTTGGCTTGCAGCATAAATACAGATCAAACAAAACTGCAAGGAAAATTGCCTACAGAGACCTGTAACATGTTTTTTTTAGGTAGCAATCACTCTGCCTGCCAGATAAAGCCTGTTCTACTTAGCATTTGCCACAACCTACATTCTTATGGGCCACTGTCTACCATATCTCATTTGAATGAAACAGCACTTTTCTAGGGAAGTCAGAGATGTGAGAAATTCCGATCATGACATACTATAGGCATAAGGTTAATTTTTTATCAGTTTGGTTTGGTTTTATTTCAGAAGTAAGTTTTTCTCTACCTCAGAATCCTGTGCAACTGACTTTGCATTTGCAAAAGCAGGCAGCATTTCACCTGACTACCCAAAATAGTCTGTGACATTCAGAGGACATGTTTTCTGAAACAGATGCAGTGTGATTGAATATTAATTTATCATGTGTTTGGAGCATGACTGATAACATCTGAGCATACACACAAAATTTTCTACATCACACAGCAGATGAAACAACTGTCACTGTTATGTGAAGGTATGTACATGATTACAGAGTTATCCTCTGCTTTGGAAGGCAAGGTTCCAGGCTGCAGAAATGGGACAAATCTGGAATAAGCCAGAGTTGACAGGAAATTGTCTGTGCGCTATGTGTAACAATAAATCATCTCTGCAGCACCACAGCACATGACTTTGAATATTCTGTGCTTTCCAGGTTTTCTGTGCTGCATATGTACATACACTTAAGGTACCAAGTGGATTTATCATAGATAACTGTAGCCACTTCAGTCACTGACGCACCTAGACTTTGCTGATTGTATCAGCTTCCTCTTGTAGTTAATGAAGGGAAAGACACCCGTCAGGGAAATTCACCACATCCCAGCACAGATCTCAAAGTCAAGTAATTGCCTTCTGGAACCGCTGATCTTCAGCTGACCCCATCAAAAATATATGTAAGAAGCTAGACTAATGCATGTTGGTATTTACATACACACACTATAGAAACCTTCTTCATCTATTTTCAATTAAATCCTGGTCAGAATACATTCAGCTTTCTAATACATTCTGAAAGATGATCATCAGCCAATGATTTCTTTTTCCAGGAACATCTTTACTGTAGCTTAGAGTGAAATCAGACTAACACTGAGCAGCAAGTGGCAGAAATATTTATTCTGGCTTCTAACTATGAAATTTAGCTTGTTTAACACTCAGAAATGTTGGCAGGAGAAATGGTATAGTGAAAGCTTTGATTTTTAAAGAGTGTCTGCGCCATGTGACACAACGGAACATATTAAGGATTTTCCTTGTACCTATGAGCTTTGAGCAAGGACACCGCAAAGTTCAGAAATGGAAATCTGAGCTGTGAATGTATATAGTACATTTAAAATCACTGATGTTGATAAGGAACGCTACAGAGTAAGTACAATCAATTGCTTTTGCATGAAAATATATATTGTCAATGATAGGATAGTGTTTGTTGATATGTGTTTGCCAGTCTAGTTTTCAAGTTCTCTGAGGCTTTTGCTGAAGATACGGTTTTTTTTTGCACAACAGTATACATTGTACATATTGTAATATTATATCATACTGTTTTAAGAATAGAGACTACACCATTTTTGGAAAATCCCAATAAAATAGGTAATTGCTTAGCGGAAAAACAAGAAACATTTTTCAATTCCTTACTTACTCCTGCTTCCTAAGGTTGATCACACAAAACTGGATTAAGCTCCAGAAACAGAAAGGATATTATTGAAGCAGCAGATGATCAAGTAAGTTGGATTGTGGGACAGCTGAATGGCTTAGGGAGCATCTTAAAAAACCTGAGTTGATAACAGACTATTTTTTGGTCATATGTTTTCATTAAATAGGAACTGCACTGCAAGCTCTGCTGAGCACTGGGGAGGCAGGAAGCATGGCTTGTATAACAAGGAGCAGGAGCAGCACATGTTTTGTATTCAGCCCTTTGCCTGATTAACAGCAGTGTTGAATGGCCCTGCTGGGAGCCACATCCAGGAAGAAGAGTTAGCAAAGTGCCAAGGTCTGCAAAAGTAAAGTAACAGGGCACAGAGGGGGCTCTCAGAGACCTGAGAGTTTGCAGAGATATATCCTGTGAAGGGAGAGGGTGAATTACCCTCTTCTAAAGAACTGTACGAAGTGCTCAGGCTGAGGAAGGCTCAGAGAAGTAATGTAAACAGCACAGTGGAACTCTTTCGCAGATGGAAAATTAAGCTAATATCTCTCACTTTGGATCAAACCACATCCTATTTTCAGGATCCTTGAGCCTAGCCACATTAAACATGCATCTGGCCTACTGTGCTTTTCCAAGCCCAGCAGTACCATAGCAGATATACAGTTTAATTCGCAGAAACTGTTACATTCCAGTTTTCTATCATTACCTACCGAAAAAATTAGCACAACAGTATAGCCTAAAGCGTCTAGAGAGGACTCAAACACAAAAAGTCCCTTTAAGGCTCAAACAAGCTTGATCTTTAATCACCAGGATAATTTAAATCCCACGCTCAGCCTGAACAATATCAGGGAGGCAGAGCACAGGCCTCGGGCAGATCACAATTGCAAACTGTTTCTACGTAAGTATTTACTTGGATTTATTTTTGAGACTGAATGCCAATAATCATAGAATCATAGAATCGTTAGGGTTGGAAATGACCTTAAGATCATCTAGTTCCAACTCCTTGCCATGGGCAGGCATGCCTCATACTAGACCATATTGCTCAAGGCTCTGTCCAACCTGTTTTCCCAAGAGATAAGCAGTCCTTGCAAGGAGAGCAGGGATCCAGGGATTCAATAGTTTTTCAAGAGGTACACGTAAGAGAAAGTGACAGAGATTCTCTCTTGAGATTGGGAAATCAGACTCTTCTATACACGTAATTAGGGAAAGGTAGAACTATTAGGAACCCTGGGAAGAGGAAAGTTAGGCCTCTGGAAAGGTGAACTATGTGTAGACAAAGTGTAATTTTGCTATCCTATTTCTTTAATGTTATGCTTTGGCCCTGCTGTTAAACAGCAGTTTAGCTGAAACAGACTGCCCTGTTTATTCCCTCTCAATCACAAATCTCCTAGTCCAAAAGAAGAACAGTTACCAGAAACAAAAGAGAGCCCACTGGGTAAGTGCAACTGATCAACGGGTTGCTCCTGTGTGAGAAAGACGAAGGCGTGAGGCCTTGTACACACCTAGGTGGGTACTCACAGAGATCCAGAAGAGAACAGCTATGTCCCATTTCCTTGAACTTACCAGGCTTTTCATATTCTGTAACAGCAAACTCATGGCAAAATAGGTTGGAAGCACAAGAAAGCAGATCCTCCAGCAAGTCTTTTGTTACACTGTCAAAATACTACTTCCGAGAAGTAAGAAGAAGTAACGGGGAAATGTACATTTAAACACTCAGATACTTAAATCCCTCCACCTGTTATCCTGCACACCAACTTCAGAGATCACTGTTGCTTGCATGAGTGAATCATGCTTGTGCTACAGAACTACTAAATTTCCTGTCTTACATCAGACAAGGCTCTCAACAATCTAGGACTGCAGCTTCTTGTCTGTTACTGTTCTAATATAAAGCCTCATGTGTGCAAATGATAGAATCATAAAACGGCTTGGGTTGGAAGGGACCTCCAAAGGTCATCTAGTTCCACCCCTCATGCCATGGACAGGGACACCTTCCACTAGACCAGGTTTCTTAAAACCCCGTCCAGGCTGGCCTTGAACACTGCCAGGGATGGGGGTTCCACAGCACCTCTGGGCAAACCTGTGCCAGTGCTTCACCACCCTCACAGTAAAGAACTTCTTCCTAGAATCTCAGCTAGATCTCAGCTTGATCCCCTCTGTCAGCTTAAAGCCATTCTCCCTTGTCCTATCCTTATATGCCCTTGTAAAAAGTCCCTCTCCAGACTACTTGTAGGCCACCTTTAGGTACTGAAAGCTGCTCTAAGGTCTACCCTGAGCCTTCTCCAGGCTGAACACCTCAACTGTCTCAGCCTGTCTTCATAGGAGAGATGCTCCAGCCCCCTGATTATCTTCGTAACACTCTGGACTTTCTCTAGCAGGTTCATGCCCCTCCTCTGTTGGGGGCCCCAGAGCTGAACACAGTACTCCAGGTGGGGTCTCATGAGAGCAGAGTACAGGGGGAGAATCACCTCCTTTGACCTGCTGGTCATGCTCCTTTTGATGCAACCTAGCATATGGCTGGCTTTCTGGGCTGCAAATGCTCACTGTTGGGTGACATTGAGCTTCTCATCAACCAACACCCCCAAGTCCTTCTCTTCAGAGCTGCTCTCAGACCATTCTCCACCCAGCCTGTATTTGTTCTTGGGATTGCCCTGACCGAGGTGCAGGACCTTGCACTTGGCCTTGTTGAATTTCATGAGGTTCTCACAGACTCACCTCTCAAGTTTGTCAAGGTTTCTCTGGATGTCAGATTGATACATCTGCAAAGAGCAGCTAGTCACAGAAGTTAGTTTTGCAAAATGGACTCTAGTCTCCATGAAGATCCCTGCTTACTGCATTCAGTGACTCACAATTAAACATAGCCATCCCTTGAGGCATTCAAGGCCAGGCTGGATGTGGTTCTGAGCAACCTGATCTAGTTGAAGATGTCCCTGCTCATTGCAGGGGGGTTGGACTAGGTGACCTTTGGAGGTCCTTTCCAACCTATTCTATGATTCTATTCTATAATAATCATTTATAGACTGCGCAAATACAGCCTATGCTATGTAAATCCTGTGAAGTGTTTACTTTCTCCTGTATTCTGACAGTACCAGAGGGGTGGGACACACAAACCAGTATTCTACTGTGACTCAGTGATGCTTGCTATGTCTCTAGCAGTGAGTTTGCTCTTGTATTGTAAATTATTACAATTCAGTAAAACAGTTTTGATGCTGCATGTGACACAGCATAACTTGAGTCCTTCTGTCAGAGCAGTGTTAGCTCTAAATGATAACAGAAGCAAAATGCAGTAAAAGGTTATTTTCCACTATGCCTTAGACAAACACAAGCTAAAGCTCTGAATAAAATGGAGCTGATGTTTTTGTGTTTCAAAGCAGAATCACAATTGAAAAGGTTTCTACAGAAATGAAGGAAAGAGGCCAGAAGAAAACTGTTTTCTTTTTTCCTTCAAATGTACAAGTTTTGAAGTGGTTACATAATATTTAAGTTACTGAATACAGAAAGTTATTCTGTTCAAGAATAAATGATTCACATATGCAGAGTGATTCAGCCAAATTTACATTCAATGAACGAATGTTTATTTATGAAGTTACACATGCAGCACAACCAAAATGAAGAAGGGACAGGGTATGACAGCTCTCCTAGGATACATGTGATATATCTTCCACAGAGCTACTAAACTGGCATACACATATTCAATACGTAGCTGAAGTCGCAAGAAGCAGACTGACAGACCAGAAACAAGTTTCTCATTACAGTGTTCCTGCTTCATCTTTTTCAGGCCATGGACAAAGTAGGTGGACCTGAAGAGATGCTGTAACTCAAAAACATTTTTTGAGACACCAGAAAGACAGCAGAAGGAATATAAAGCAATAGGATTACTGTTCAAGAGAGTCTCCTCCTTAGCTCAGTAGTTACTAATCTGCATGTTCTGAGATGGCAACATTCTCATTCAGAACAGAAGGAAAAGCAATGATTAACAAATTTAATAAAGTCAATCCAAGTGGAACCTATATTAAAAACTTTCAAAAGCATGGCTTTCTAAGCTTCTGGAAAGGTTGAGTAAGTTTCTCAGTGTGAAAGCTCCAAAAAAAATTTTTCAAGTTTGGCTTACCTGTGTATTTCTTTGAAACTTGAGGACAGAGCCACATATGAAAAATGCATGGACTGTACTGAAGCTTACTGAACTTGAACTTTGCATTATATAAAGTGTTACGTTACCACAGTGTCTTCCTTAGGCATCTTCATATAGTCAATGAATAAAAGGGCTAGTAAGCAAAGAGTTTTATATTAAATGAGTGCTATTATTTTGCAATCACTTTTTTTCTTTCCATTTTCAGGCAAGAAAGTAGAAACTGACAAAGTAATTTGTTTGGAGGTAAAGAAAGAGCTGACATATGGGCGTTAAAACTTTGCTTATGTTGGAGCCACATCCTGTTTCAGATGCTGATTTCTTCCTCACACATACTCCTGTGAACCCATATTCTCTCCTGAACTTCAATTCTCCCATTTGGGTAAGGTTGTAATAATCAACCCAAATGGATGCCTATTTATATGTGTTACAGAAATGTTTGTACGCCTAGATGATAACCAAGTGGGAAACAGAACTTGGGAGCCTTCACCCTAACATTTGTTCTTCTAAACCTCCTGAGTATATCATCAGCAGCACCAAAACTTACAGATTTCCTACAGTGCTTGTGAAAACATGTCAAGGTTTTAAAGAACATGTAACCTTTAAATTGCACAAAAGCAATTCTCTGCACTCTGAATCACAGCTAAATATTACAGAAGGAAGACCAGCATCAAAACACATGAAAGACAGGGGATATATTTCAAAATTCGCTTTTGCAATTTGCCAACCATGCTCAGGTAAAATAAGTACAGAGATTATGCTACAGCATTGTATATCCTGTGTCCTTGACACGATGTGCAAATAACTAGGTGTTGAAAAATCTAGGCAAGTGGTCATAAAACCTATCCTGCAAAGTTCTGTGACTCAGCAACATCCATGAAAACAGGCAAGTTACAGTATCTGTGGCTAAATTACTATTAAGATAGGCACATGTCCATTTATGTTTTGATAAGAGCAGCAGAAGCATTCATGTGCCAGGCACCAGTGTGACTTAAAAAGGGGAGATACATTCTGTTCAAAGTTTCCTTATAATTTTTTTGCTTTTCTGTAAGCAAAAATGTAGTAATTCTGCCTGAAAGCTGTGCAAGTTATGAGTATCTGAAAGAAGAATCTTGGTACGTTACAAAAATAATTGCACTTTTAACTGAAAGCCATCATCTCCATCCTTGTACTCATTACAAAAATCCTGTGGAAACAAGAGTCTATTTAATCTATTGCTATAGAAATTACTGTTAGCCAAATAATATAATCATGTTCTTACATAGTATTTTGATCAGAGGTTCTTCAAAGTGTATAAGCTGAATGCTTCAATGGCAAAAATTGCTGTGTATAGATAATGCTAATCTTTCTTTCTGGAGTAATGAGAGCAAGGAAATAATTTTTATAAATGCCATACGGTAATAATTTAAAGCATGATAAGCATTTTAATGCAGGAATACAAAACTTTCAGTGTTGCCAGTGGAAGGAAAAAAAGATTTTTTCAAACTGCTTTTGGAATCTTGCACATATTTAGTGAGCTTGGCACCTCTGACACTTTACAAGCCTGGATAGCCTTTGTGTAGATTTCTGTACATGTGAAATACTCCAGTTCCATTCCAAAAGGCTTCAGAGAAACAGGATCAGTCATCATAGAAGGGTGGAGGTTTCATTCATAAGGTCAATTCATCTACTCCTAAAGGTTTGAATTTACAGCCACGTATTTTACATATGAGTGAGTCCTGACCTCCCTCACATAAATATCATGATTCCCATTTTACAGCTGAGCCCACTACAACGCACAGGGATGCAGCTTCTAGTCTTGGAAGAAATGGAAAACCACCACCACATATTAATAGTGCAAAGTACTAACAAATCTCCTACCTACGAATGATTACAGGAACAATAACCTCAGCACTGAAAAGTATTTGCAAAAAAATACCAGAGGAATAAACTAAACTTAAGAGAGCCTATATTAGACACCACACTACAAGTCTGCATCATCAAAAATCTGCAAAACTGAGTTGTTTTGCCACTGTAATACCTCAGACATTTCTGGGAAGTTCAGATTTTTTTAAGAAATACAATGGAGCACTTTCAGTCACTGCAAAATTTGTGCAAACTTGAGAAAAGAGCCTGCAACATTCAGCAATGCTTGCACCTCTTAAGGCCTCAGACCCAAAGAGTAAAGTGTAACTTCTATGTTTTACATCTATATTACAGTATTTGTTAAAAGCTATGGAAAGTGTACCTCATTTGCATGTAAGTAACTGTCAAGCAATTGAGCTTTACCTACTTCAGCTTTTATGATAACTAGCAAACAATAAAACAGATACAGAATATACATAAATAGAGCAGCCTGATAAGACACCAGAGCCCTCACAACATGATTAGGAAAAGATGCAATTAATGGCCATGTGAGCTGCCAGAAGGCCAACGTTTCCATTTCACGGCAGCCCTTTAGATTACCAAAATAAAATTTGCTTCATATAAAATTAAAGCCAAGTGACATTTCATAAAAAGTAGAAGTTATCAAAATGTCTCATTGAA